TACACTGATGCCTGGCACCCATAGCAACCTGCTCCTATTCTTTCTTTGTCAAAGGGCTATGGTGAGACCATTTTGATTCTTTTTGTTTCCTTTATGACTTTTATGAAAATTAAAATTAGTTATTTTCTTCTGCTGGACAGTATTAAATGAAGCAGGATGTTGCGTTAATCTGCTAGATTGCAAAAAAAATAATAGAAAGAAAGGGGAAAAAAGAAAAAAAATTATTCTATCTTCCTTGTTCTGCTATAATATAGTGAAACAATGCCATGGAGAAGTAAGGGAATAATAAAGGAGTTGGTGAGTGAGAATGATCATTTATTATGTAACTACTGTATTCCAGGCCTGATGCTCACTAAATATTTAAATCTACTCTTTGAGATGCCTATTTTCACTCCCATTTTGCATGTGGGAAAAAGTACTCATACCAGTAAAAGGCAAAATTGGAAGTTCAAACCCAGCCCTACTAACTCCAAGAGAATTTTCCTCCCACAGTAGCCACTTTCTGAATACCTTCTATACACCAGGCTCTGGAGAAAGGAGTTCAATATATGTAGCTGGTTGAGGTAGTAAACTTGGATTTGAGCAAACGCTAGTGCTTCTCTGAGAAATAAAGGCTGACAGCCTCATTCCAAGTACCAGCCAGTACACTTGAGAAACATTCTTGGGGCTGTGTAAAATTATGTTATTTTGCTTGTGTTTTAATGTCAATAAAGATGAACTTAGAGGCTTAAGGGAACAGAAAAAACTAAGACAATGGAATGAAGTCCTGACCTCCTTTATTCATGACGCCCTTCTTCTACACAAACCTAATTCGTTGCTTTTCTACCCCTGTATTATTTGGGGGCAGGCTCCATCTAATGGTTGGAGCAGCTGAATCCCACAGGGCTAATCCTGTGGTTTGAGTCCCAGATCTCTCAGCTTGAGAACCATGCCAGGTGCTATGCATTAATACCCTAAATCATGACAGAATGGAGAAATGGAAAAGACATGGTTGCATGACCATTCCCCATAGGAGGTGCCTCCTTCCTTTCCCTCTCTCTGCTTCTCTTTCTGGCAAGTACATGTGCCCTTGGGTAAAAAAGAACTAAAAAGGAAAAAAAAAAAAAAAGCAACATGCTTCATGTAAGTTGCACAAAACAACAAACAAAAAAGAAAATAGATTATTTTTTCCATCAAAGTACAAGTGGGACTTGAGGCATAAACAGTGCTTATTTGGCACTCTTGTAACCAAAGTAGATCCAGAATGGGATGGGCCCCTTTAATTTTTGGTTCTGCCTTACAAAGAAAGAGGGAATATTCTCCCAGAGTATTAGTTTTCTAAAACTATATACCAGGCCCTGTGCTCTGTACCAGGTCCTGCCACAAATTACTACAGACTTGAAACAACAAAAACTTATTCTCTAATGCAGGGGTTCCCAACCCCTGGGCCACGTGACCTGTTAGGAACCAGGCTACACAGCAGGAGCCAAGTGGCAGGTGAGTGAGGAAACTTCACCTTTTTCTACAGCTGCTCCCCATCACCTGTGTCTCTGCCTGAGCTCCACCTCCTGACAGATCAGCAGTGGCATTGGACCATGTAGTCACAGGACAACAAGCACAGGGTTGCCACTGATTCTTCATTATGGCGAATTGTATAATTACTTCATTATATGGTACAATGTAATAATAATAGAAATAAACTGTGCAGTAAATGTAATGTGCTTGACTCATCCTAAACCCATCACACACACATACCCACCCACGCCCTGCCCGATCGAGGAAAAATTGTCTTCCATAAAACCAGTCCCAAAAGGCTGGGGCCCACTGCTGCAATGGCTGTGGAAGCCAGAAGTCTGACATCAGCTTGGCTGTGCCAAAATCAGTACCAGCAGGGCAATTTTCCCTGCAGAGACACTAGAGGGGAATCTCTTCCTTGCCTCCGCCAGCTTCTGGTGGTTGCCAGCATGGCTTAGTTTGTGCCTGTTTCACTGTAATCTTTAAGACCAGCATCTTCAAATCTCTCCCTGCCTCCATCTTTATATCAGTATATCCTCTTCTTTCTGTGTCAAATATCCCACTGTTTCTGTCTTACAAAGATATGCATAATTGTATTTAGGACTCATTCTGTCTAAGATAATTTCCTCATCTGTCTAATCATTTTAGTCAAATCTGCAAAGACCTCATTTCTATACAATATTGATACTGTTCATAGGTTCCAGGACTTAGGACATGAATATCTTTGGGACCATTTTTATGTTTTTTTAGAGATTTTTTTTTTTTTTTACTATAGGACATGTGCGCTTGCCAGGGAGACAGAGAGAGACAAAGAGAAAGTGAGAAATCATCCCCCAGAGGGGATGGCCACACCGCAATCCCTTCTCTTCCATTCTCCTCTTGGGATCTTGGGCATGCCCACACCCACGTGCCCGGTGTGAGTTTGAATAGCTGGATCCAGGACTTGAACCACAGTCAACCACATGGGAGTCTAGCAATGTAACTATTACACCAACTACTGGTTCCCAATTTCCATACAGCCACATTAGGATCCCTGTCTTCCAAGGCAATGAGTAGGAGCCTCATTCAGGGTCAGCAAGCCAAGGTCTTCCCAGAGGAAGCTCAACAGGTCTTGTGCAAGTTAGTCTGAATTCAAGGACCTCGGGCATTGCTCTACCTCCTCCTCAGGGTGAAAGTTTCTCTATTGTCTCAAAGACATATCGTTCCTCTCCAACTGCCAAGCACACAGCTTTGAGTCTAATAGATGTAACACAGGTGCAGCAAAATGCACACACTTTAGTCATCTCTGTGACCCTACTTTAATCTCTTTCTCCCCTAGTAACCTGATTCAATGTTTCTAGAGGAAAAATACACATATATCAGATTCCATTGATTCTGTTCCCTAAAAACTGACACCAGTTAGCCTAAGAGGCCCTCTCGTATTTCTTTTTGGTCCTGCATGGAATTAACACTTGAGAAACAAAGTCTATTTAGAGACCAGATGCCCTCTGGGGCACTCTTGACGTAAAAACCCTTCAGTAACCTCAAGAACTCTGAATCTAAGGCCATAGCGCCATAGCCCATTTTGTGCAGGAAATGTGTTCTTTTTGCCTTTGCTATTTTACTTTTTCTAAAATATTGACTTCAACTTTAACTTAACCTCATCCTTGCAGAGGCAGATGGAAATATTCTTATCTTGTTTAGAGAAAGCATTCAAGGTTATTATCAGTGAAAATAAACAGAGAAATTGTTTTCCTTAATGTATATGTGTCCTGTAAGTAAGGAAAAAGGAACTTTTTATCAGTCTAATAATATTTTATAGCTTTATCACTTGGATAATAATGTCTGCTCTCTCTATATGTGTGTGTGTGTGTGTGTGTGTGTGTGTGTGTGTGTGTGTATATGTTTTAGTTGAAGTTTTAGAGATCTATACAGATTCTTAAAATATGTAAGCCCTGAAAGACAAATAACATATGGTCTAATTTAACAGTTATATGACTTTAGGGAAAGGAATTCATTGTTTTATATTGGAATTTTAATGGGTGATAAATGAGATTTGAAGTAAGACCAAGTTTCTTTAAAATGAATCCTGGCTAAGGAGTAGAGAAACAGCAATTTAAAAATTTAAAAATTGACAGTTTTCAATGTATACTTTGAAAATGACTAATATTGTCTTAAATTAGATCTGTATGATAGAATACTATTATTTTATAAGATACTAATTGCTAATCGGTATCAATAAAGAATTATAAACTGTAAATCAAAAATTTTAGGACACTCAAATCACTATATTTTAGTGAAATTAATGGAAGAGCTATAAAGCAGAAAGACTTCCAATTTTGCAAATGTACATTTATAACTGATGAGAAGTATAAGCATTATTATTACCTATAAATCTTCTAATAGTGTGTTCTTTCTAGGGATATTAGCCAAAACTGCTTTTAGCTAATGTAAATAGAATGTTTTATAGACAGAGAGATATAAGTTCAAATTCTAAGTTGGCCATCTTCTGAAGGTAACTTCAAGTAATTTAATTGACCAGTCTGAGGCTGGTTTCCTCACTGGCAAAAGGGAATATTTTACAACCTATGGACCAAGAATATAAAAACAGTCTGTAAATAAAAGAATGAAAAAAATACATATACCTTGTAGATACTAATCATGGTGGTTTTAAAATAGATTCACAGATTCTTCTCTCTCCAAAGGTAGAGACTAATTTCCCTTCTCTTTAAAGTGAGTTATATTTAATCACATAGAATGAATAGAATATGGCAGAAGTGAAAGTCTATGACTACTGAAATTGGGTCACGAACTACAGTGCGGCTTCTTCCTTAATCCCATTTACAATTAATAACGTCAGGATTGAAAAGGATGACATCACTGAAGATCTTGTGTACATTTAAAACGCTAAGACTGTAACTCCACAGATTGGAATTCTGTCATCTCTCCACCATGATGGTTATGTCCCTGCCCATTTTATTTTCCATTTTTGTGTTAGCCTTTCTCACATCCAAAATAGTTTTCCAAACTTTTCTTCAAATTATAGGTTCAATTTTCCTCAATTGAAAGTCTTCTTACAGCCATCATTGAAGATGTTATCTTATTGAAATTTTTTTATCCTGTTTGCCTCCCATTTTATTTTGACATCATATTATTAACACAAAGACTATCTTGTTTCATTTCATTTTTTTAAAAAAAGCCACTTGATTTTTTTTTCATATGCTTAGAAAAAAAGTTACTTTTGTTTAGGACTTGTGATTGTTGGTAATAAAACTATAGAAAAATAATAGCACTAGTACCTTCTAAAAGCTTCAGTATTGTGCTTATATTTTCTACTTAAAATACAATATTTATAAAACTATAAAATATAAACCATTTCTTTATAAAATTAACATAGCAATAACATATTGTCTTGAAAAACATTTCAACTTCAGCAAAATATTAGTGTGTTTCAGTGAGTCCAATATTCTTTCGATTTAGAAGAATGAGTCATGAAGAGGCTCGCTGCTATTTCCAGGAGGTGAAGACTGGGAAATTCCAACCCTTGGGGAAGGGATTTCTCCCGGTCCATCAACCTCAGTGACCTTCAGGTAATGTCAAGGTGGGTGAATGCAGCCTGGTAGCTCCGGAGGCTTGTGTGGACAAGAGAGAAAAACATTAAGACCAAGTTCTACTCCTTGAGAAAAAAAAATAATAAATCAAGGCTGTGTCCTTGTCCTCCTGGCAAGTTGGCAAAAGTTCCCAATAATGTGGTGACTCTTAAGTCTTTGCAAGAATCAAAAATATTTAGCATCTCCACAATTTCTTCTGGTTTTGAGCATTTGGTTCTCTCCTCCTCCATTTCTTCAATCAGGGGGCTTAATTCCTCCCTCTGCACCAAGTTGATCCTCTTTGCTTTTTTGTAATCTTCAGTAAAGCTAGGGATATTTAAAGACTCCTTCTCTAACCTGACACTCTCTAAAGATGACTCAGTCCCTGAATGTTCCTTTCTAGTAGCACAAATCTTATCTAATAAGTTGACATTTCTACTCATGTAGCCACTATTTCTGTGAACTGCTTATCTCTCCTTGCATAAAGTTAACTTCTCAGATACCAAACAAGTCTGAATAAAAACAAGAGGCCCACCACTAAACACATGAGAGGTGGATATTCCAGCACCTCCCCTTGAAGATTTTAAAAAGTGAACTGTAGACTCAGAGTATCAGGCAATACCTCCTCTACCACCTCATCCACCTTCTCAAATATCAGCCCAAAGTTCACTTCATAGAGGATCACAGCCTTTCCATGGCTCCACAGCCACTACAGGGCACTGACCAATAACCGTGGATCCAGCAGCCACAACAAACCCCATGCAACATCCCAACAAACCACCAGAGATGCAGCCAGCAACTGGCATTCTGGATTGGTCAGTGATGCGGTTAGTTATGGGGGGGGGGGAGATTTGGAAAATTAAATATATATATCTCTATTACTATGTAATTCTCATTCTTATTTACATCCAACTTTAGCTTTTATGTCAACATAAAATAAAAATATTATGCAATGTGCAAATTTTAAATGTACGAATTTTTATACCTCTCTGCTGTACCCAATACCCTATCAATACATGGATCATGTCCATTAGAATAAAAAATACCCCATGTAACTTCTTAACCAAAACCCACCACCATGAACAGATATGTCCTATGTTTTGACTTCTATGAACGCTAGTCAGTTTTACCAATTCCTGAACATCACAGAATGAAACAAATAGCATATACACTTTGATGCTTTTCACCGAAAGTAGTCCCTTTAATGTACATCACTTTGTCTCTGTGGATAAGCAGTTGACTTTGTCCATCTTTGAGCGATTTGACATTATATGAGAATGTCACATATAGTTGTAGCTACTGGGATTACTTCACGTGTAGACTATTAAAGACAAAAATACTGTGGCTACCTACATACATGTCCTTTTTATAAATATATGTTTTTATTTGCTCTTCATGTAGAAATTCTGAATTAGGGTATGCTATGTCTTTACAGCATACTATATGCGTTCTTAAAGCATAAATGCATTGCCACTTCATTTTTAAAACTATTTGTCCCTTTGATGTACATCTATTTAAGGAGTTTTCACATGCTGTTAGTTCCTATTCGTTTCTACTGCTGGGTATTTTCTCATGATTCTTAGATGATTTTTGTTAGTTTACTTTTTGCAATTTGATCTCTTTGAGGTTTTAAGATTTTTAAACCCTGCAAGAGCACTAAATATAAATGAAGGAAGTTGGGTTGGGACCAAGCCAGGTGTAAGCCTTATACAAACAAATGCTCCCAACACCTTTTTCCTTCTTTACTCCTCCATATTCACATGCAGTTTAGTGCTCATACTTATCTCTACCCGGATAAGTAACAGGAACACACCTTGAAAGGGAGAATAGGCAATGGAAGTTACTGACATGAACACAGTAATATCTGGATTATATCCAGGCTCTATCATTTGCTGGTTATGTGGTCAACTTTGGACAAATTAGTTAACTTTCCCATGCCTTAGTTTTCTAACCAGTAAAATTGAGATTATAATAACAACAGTCTCTTTATAGGTTCATGGTAATGATTAAATAAAATAATATATGAAAGTAGTTAAAACAATGCTTGGTCCCCAGTTGATGCTCAATAAACAGATGCCAACAATAATAATAACAACAATAAATCCAGCTCCCCGTTTCCATCTAATTACAGAGATGTATATAGCCTAAGGTCAGAGGTAGTAGGAGTAGCTGGAAGTCTAGTTGCTTGGACCCAAAGGACATAACTAAGACTCTACAATTCATTGGTTGTATTATGCCAAAATATAAGATGGAAAAACTAGCTTTTCAATTGTGCATATACTAAATGTAAAATGATGCAGCTGATATCTTAAAAGAAGCATTTATATCAATAGCTAACTTAAAACCCCTCTCCTTTTACATTTTATTTTATAATTTATTTGCATTTAATTGTGATATATCTTTGTTGATAGAGGGAACTGCTGAAATTACTAATTGTGAGGTGTGTGTGTGTGTGTCTAACAGATACTACCCTTGCAAGGGTAGAGAAGTGCTATGAGTGACTACCAAAACACCTCACCTACTTGCTCTATCCCCAATGTGGTTTTTTTAAGCATGCACACAGTGTGTGATAGTAAAATCAAAGATATTACCATATTCATCATCTTCAACATGCCATCATCATCTTCAATGAAGAACATTACATTGCATTATAAAACTTTGGGCACCAGCAGTTAGCATAATGGCTATGTCGCTGGACTCCCATGTAGTCAACCATGGTGTGAGTCCTGGACCCGGTGGCTTAAACTCACACCGGGCGTGTATGTCCACGATCCCAAGAGGAGAATGGAGGAGAAGGGATTGCGGTGTGACCATCCCCTCCAGGGGGTGATTTCTCACTTTCTGTCTCTCTGTCTCTTTCTGTCTTTCTGGCTAGCACACGTGCCCTATAGCAAAAACCTCTAAAAAAACAAACAAAAAAAAATTCTCCTTAAGGGGATTTAGTGAGAGGTAAATACCAGGCACCTAGTTAACAATACAGTCCACAGCTAACCCTTTCTCTTAGTGTAGCTTCTTTAGATGTAGGTTGAGCTTCATACTCAATAAATTTCTTCTAGATTTACTCCAAAGAATCTCAGTTATTTAACACAGATTTTCTTTCCCTTTTCCATGGAAAGAACCAATTCTACTTTTTTTTTTTTTTTTTTTTTTGAGAGAGAGAGCTTTTGCTATAGGGTTCATGTGCTTTCCAGAGAGACAGAAAGTGAGAAATCACCCCCAGGGGGGATGGCCATGCCACAATCTCTTTTCTTCCATTCTTCTCTCAGGATTTTGGGCATGCGTGCATATGTGCCTGGCCTGAGTTTTAAGCTGCCAAATCTAGGACTTGAACCACAATTGACTACATGGAAGTCCAGCGGCATAACCATTATGCCATCTGCTGGTCTCCCTTCCTACTTTTTAAAGTGTTTTCAGATCAAGAAAATTAAAAACCTTCACATCAAGTGGTGAGAATAGAGGGAACTGCTGAAATTACTAATTGTGAGGTGTGTGTGTGTGTGTGTGTCTAACAGATACTACCCTTGCAAGGGTAGAGAAGTGCTATGAGTGACTACCAAAACACCTCACCTACTTGCTCTATCCCCAATGTCAACCCCTTGCATGAGTTATTATTTTCTCTTGCCTACACTATGTAAAAGTCTCCCCATTGTTTTCCTATATGCATGTTCCCTGCTTTACATTCCAATCTTCACATTCAAGCCAAGGTAATTTTTTAACTATACAAATTCAATCCTTAATTATATGTCCTTGCACCACTATATACTTTCCCTTCATAGCATTTATAATATTGGGACATCAGGAAAGTCATGATCCATTTTTATGTAGAAAAACATAGAAAAATACATCATAACTTTGCAAACAACCTAATCGTTTGTAATTAAATTTACTTATAATTAGTTGCCATTTAACTATAGCTGATACTTCCACCAGAATGTGTAGAAATAGAAACTCATAAGCTCTAAGCATTTCGTAATGCCTTGGTTAGTTAAAAGTGTAGCAAAAATCTTAAGTTTTAAGTTAAAATGTTATTTCATGAGAAGACAAGCACTAAGACCACGATTAAGACAGGTCTTTTGAAATGTAATTGAATGAGTCACTATTCTTTGTTGCAGTTAAGATAAGAAAATAAACGTCAAAAATATTTATAAATATGTATGTGACTGTGAAACACAAAAGCCAGAGAACCAGTCAGGTAGAATGAAGTTCTCATTTAAATTAGATGTATTTATGTTCTCTACTATCAACATTAATCTTTTTTGTCTTCTTCTATTTTTATTCTGATAATGACAAGAAGTTTCCCCATGATATTCTTCTAGCTATATCTTTCTATTAAAAAGCTATCGTTGGGGCCAGCAGGTGGCATGGTGGTTGAGATGTTGGATTCCAACATGGCCAATAACTGTTCAAGTTCTGAACTTGTTGGCTTGCTTTCTCACTCTCCCTTTCTGTCTCTCTGGGAAAAACTGAAGAATAATGATAACAAATAAAATTAAAAATAAATAAATCTTTTTTTAAAATGTACTCTGAGATTCTTTATTAAAAAAAAAAAAAAAAGCTATGGTTGGCCAACAGGTAGCATGGTGGTTAAAGCACTGCTGTGCATGCATGACCAAAATCCTAAGAGAAGAAGGGATTGCAGAATGGCCACCCCCCACCCTAGCAGGGGTGTGATTTCTCACTTTCCTTCTGTCTCTGTCTCACCAGTAAGTGCATGCACCCTATGGAAAAAAATAAATAAAAGAGAGAGAGAGAAAGCTATGGTCATTGTAAGTATTAACATTTTCGTTTTATATATTAATTAGACTATGTGTTCGAATTTGGTTCCTTAAGTGATAACGAACACACCAGTAACTTGATAATTAGCCTACTATTCTATGGGCTAACTTACTTTATAATTTTCACAATTTAAGTCACATGCAAAAGTGATATATATTCATTTGCTAGTTAGCAAGCACTAATGCTTTTAGTTTTTGCTTTATACAAGTTTGTTTAAAAAAATAAATTGTAATTCTGAATGATTCTACTTTCAAGTAAATTTTTCATTGCAGTAAAGCAAATAGGAAAATTTCCAAAGTGTTCATCTGTCACATTCCATGTGAACATCCATATCAAGAAATAGAATATTGGGATCAGCAGGTAGGGCACTCCTACATGGCCAACTATGGTTTTTGTCCCAGACCTGGCAACTTGCTTTCTATTTTGAATATCACATAAATGAAATCATATAGTTTATAGCCATTCAGGTCTTTGTTTTTGTGTTATGCATTATATTTATGAGATTCATCTCTGAATTCATCTTATTCATCTATAAGATTTATCCAACTATATATGGATGTGCATAATTGTGTGGCTCACATATTCTATTTTCTATATAGTGTATCCATCATATAATGTTAAATAGAAACAATAAAATTTAGGTGAAGAGATATTTTATTCAAAAGGAAAATTGCAATAAAGAAAATGTTCCAATCTCAGATATCTACAAGTGTCTCAAAATCAAACATAAAAAGTTTTACTTTATGTGATAAGAGAAGACTAGTAGGAACTTTGTGATAAAAGAGAGCACAAAGCATAATACTTTAAAAGAAAATGTTCTTCTCCATAGTCAGCTCATTCTCAGGTGAACAGCTATGGGGGATGCTCTGCACCTTAGTACTTTAGTGTTTGTTTAGACTTGGGAGCATGTCATCTGTAGGGGACACATGGGAGGAGAAAAGCATGACTAAACTTTGACCAAGCCAAAGTAGAGAGTCAGAAATCAATAGTTATGAACACTTGGTCAGTTCCTTTGGTTGTGTAAAACAAGTGAGTTCCTAATCACTTTTATGAATAGAGTTAATCTTTGTAAGGTTGAAGCTGGTCCAAGTAGTTGTCAGAGGTTGAGCTAGTCTTCATGTTCTTATTGGCCTTGAACAACTGTATGATTTTCTGAGTATGTTGCCAAACTGACAAGTGATGGAGGGCCTTAGAGATCAGGTACTTAGCAAAAGGTATACTCATAATGTCATCTGCTTGGTTTGAAGTTCTTGGGAAAACTCTCTACTTTGCAGTGAACCATCAGCTTCAAGAGATCTTGAGAGAGCTTCAGTTGAAGATCCATTTAGAGCATTTTTTTAATTACTTTTTAGTTCAGAGATATAAATTTAGGGTTGGATCCCTAGATTTGGCAGATTTTGCAATGTTAACTCTTCCCTCAGAGGGTATACCATGACCTAAGTAATGCAGCTGGTGGCAAAAAACAACAACAACAAAATGTCCTTCATCTCCTAAGATTTATGACTCTTTTGATCCAAAGCTTTTAATTAGTATTGGCTGTCTTGTGAAGAACTGCTTAATTTGTACAAAATCAGGAGGTCATGAATTTATTTTATAGAAGGAGAACAAATCCTTTAGGGTCAGGTGAAATAAGCTGGGGCTTCTGGAAATCCTTAAGCATAAGTATCCAAGCATATTGTTGATCTTTCTCATGTAAGGGCAAATAGGTACTGTGAGTTAGGATGAAGGGGTATGCTAAAGCAAGCAGAGCATAAATCAATAGTAATAGAATAAGTGGCATTAGGGAGTACAGAAACAATAATAGTATTAGGGTTTGGGACTATTCTAATTTCCTAGGGCTTCCATAACAGACTAGAACAAATCGAGTAGCTTAAAAGAATAAAAATGTATTCTTACAGGTTCTAGAGGCTAGAATTCTAAAATCAAGGTGTCAGAAGGTTCATGATCTCTCTAAAGGCTCTTGAGGAACAATGTTTTCTGTCTTTCTTCTAGTTTCTGGTGTTACTAGCAACCCTTGGCATTCCTTGTCTTGTTGATCTGTCATTCCAGTCTCCCTGTCTGTCATCATATAGCTTTGTCTCTTTGTGTCTCTATCTTCATATGGATATCTTTTCTCTGTGTGTATCTGTGCCAAAATTCTCTTCATATTATAAAGATACCAGTTACTGGATTAAGGCCCTACTGGTACCATGACTCCATCTTAACATGATCAATTTGTTAACATAATTATATTTGTAAAGAAAGAAACCCATTTGAGACAAAAACAGAAATGTTTGCTGTTTTCCTGGCTAAAAGCTAATGATAATAGATATGAAAAGAATTTTCTTAAAGAGCCCTGTAGAAATGCCAGCTTAATTAGAAACCGATATTCTGGCCTTCCATTTTGAAGCCTCTGTTTCTCTCTTGGATCCTATTTTTCATGGCCATGCTTCAGTTGACTGAACCCTTTTCCTTGAATCTCTAGCTAACTGCAATTACTTCATTCTGCATTTCTACCCCTGAAGGTGGCTACTTAAAGCATGTTGTGATGACAATGGGTGAGATACTATCACACCCAGAGTCAGAGTTATCTTAGGCACGGCACAGCGGCACAGCGGTAAGTGAATCACATGTTTATCTTATTAAAAAAATATAGATTCCATGTTTTCTATTTATAAAAAGAGAGAGAGAGAGAAAAGAAATGTTGTGTCTAGAAAACTTTCTGCCAAGAAATGTCTAGTGATAATTATAATTTTGATTCCATTTGGCAAATAGCTTAAGAAACCTAATACTGCAGGCAGCATTGTAGAAGACAGCCAAAATAATTTACAGTTCGTTCTGGGTGGCTATCCTACTTTAGGCTGTCCTGTTTCCTGGCTTCACTCCCTTCTCTAGCCAAATGCCTATTTAGGGATCATTTCATTGTTCTTTAGCACCTCTAAAAGAGCTAGCAAAAAACAATGGAGATAAAACCTAGATCGTTGAATGCATTGGTAGTTTTTCGATTCACAGAAGATTTTTGAGTGAAACAGTTCCAAAGTAACTGTAAAATGAAGTTTGAAGCCCATTGTGGAGTTTAATAATGTATACTGTTCTTACCTATAGCAATTACAAGTACACTTTATTGTAATCACCTTTACAAGACTCTCTAAGCAAATTTCATAAAATTTCAAAATATATCAGGGTTTCTGATATATAGACTCTTTCTAAGTGCTAAGGACTGGGTCATGATAAAGTCGATCACTGCTCCAACCTATATTTATTCTCCTGATGTCATCCCTGTTGGGTTCTTCCATAAAGCTTTCAACCTCAAGATTTTCACAAAGAAAACTGACAAGTATAAGCACCTAGTACTATATTGTAAAATTTATTTTTTCCATTGTGATCACTTGAGTGTTTGATTTGTTTTCTGGCTTGCCTTCTTTGAGAACTCTCGCTATCTGAATTCTTGGCTGACCCATCCCTTTCAAAGACAAGCAGACTATGATGTTTCCTTTCCATAATCTCTACAATCAACACTTCCATTGTGAGGACCAAGTGCATCCACTAAGCCTGGTGTAGAGCGTTTGCTTTACCTTTTAGAAGTGAGGCAAACTGATACCCTACTCTAGCCCTGTTCAGAACTTGTTAGTGATCTGGAGAGAGAACACAGTGTTATTTTCTTTTGGAAATGTCAACACCTTACACATATCAGAACAGAATTTTCCCTCCACATCCTATCAATTGAAAAGTTATCTCTTGGCAGGAAGATACTGCTCTTCTGGATGGACTGGAAACAGACTGGGGAAAGCTGTGACTACTGCTGTCATGCTGCTACACCTGCCACTTTACTTCCTTTTGGTATCAGTGCGATTTGTGATCAAATTCAGTTCGTGTGACTGATATTCTTTAATGTCCTTTTTGTTGACAATGGGGAAGGGAGAAATTTTTATAATTATACCCAGAGCAACATTTCGAATGTTCAGCCCTGTGAGGTGATTCAGAAGTGAACTTCTCAATTTGACACTTTCATAAACAGGTGATGACATTTCACATTTTCTTATTCCAAGTCCCCTATCACTAGCAGAGCTAAGAAAATACATGAAATTCCTATTAATATATTTTATCATATGCTAAGGGGTCAAGAAAAGTTCCCATAGCTACTATAGACTAAAGTGTATGCACTAAAAATTCATGTTAAAGTCCTAACTCCCAAAGTGACTATATTTGATGATAAGACCTTTTAATAGGTCATTAAGTTTAAATGAAACTGAAGTGAAAGACACCATGGATGTTCACATGCACAGGGAAAAGACTACTAGCAGACATAGTGTCAAGGTGCCGTCCGCAAGCCGAGAAGTCTCAGGAGAAACCAAACTGCCAATGCCTTGATCCTGGACTCCAGCCTCCAGAACAGTTAAGCTATAAATTTCTGTTGTTTAAACCAACCAGCCTGTGGTATTTTGTTATATCAGCCTGGGATGACTGATACAAACTCAGAAATGTCTTCTTGGACAAGGGAGAAAGTCAAACCTTCCAGTGTATGACCAAATTTACTTTCTGTGGACGCTGTGGATTTAATTTTGTTGCTCTGAACAAAGATAATTTAATTCTTTTATAAAAATAATATTCGAGTGCCAATATGTGCACAACTTTGAATCCTCTAAGAGTATAACTCAAAGATCACTTGGCCGGTGGAGCAATTTTTTTTCAATTTCTATCTTCATAAGTGAGAAAGAAAGAAACAGAGAGAGATAGAAAGGCAGCACCCCAACTGGGTCTTCATACTGCAACCCATCCCCAGCATCAGCCAGTTCCAGATCATGGGCACACATGCACCTGACACAATCTGAGAGATCTTCAGGCAGGAACCTGGAACCTTCCCACGTGGGTCACCTTAGAGAGCATCAGGTTTTAGCACTGTGCCACCCTCTTGCCCCTGGTAGGGTAATTTTTGATGTAGTCGCCACTCTGCTAGGGAGCTGGTGGAAAGGTGATTGTGATCATTTCAACTAGAAACATCTAAAGAAGGAAATATCCTAGTATCTTAATTGTGATTGTATTCATTTTAATTGTTTTAGGTTTACTGTTCCAGGAACTATATCTTTCTCCTTCCTGTCTATATCTCCCCAAGTTTCTTCAATGTGCTAGTATTTTTTTCATAATGAAAAACTAAACAAATTGGTTAAAACAATTTTCCATTTTTGGATCTACATAATTATATGTGCAACTTTTTCAAGCCAATTACACATTACTGTTTATGTTTTTTATATTTATGTTGTTTTTATAACTAGCAACAATATGTTATAATGCCATCTACAGTTTATTTAGGAGATCAAGAATGTTTCATTGGGGATAGAGAATGAAAGAAGATACAAGGGGTCATGGGAGGAATAATATGAGATGAGAAGTGACATGGAAGAAAGAGAACAGGACACACTGAGGAAAATGCAGTTTTTCTGCCACTATTGTGGTTAGGATACGTGTATTAGAGAAAATAAGGCTACAAAGGCTGACAATAGCTGATTGAAGACTGAAAGTGGTGTGTTAAGACTTTATTTGGAGCATTGCAGCACCATGGGTGATAAGACGGTAACATAGTAAAGGCTTAGAATAGAAAAGATTAGACCTGGGGGCACATGTTAGGAAGTTACAAAATGTCCTTAAAAGAGAGTACAGTTGTAGGTCCTGAGCAAAAGAGCAGAGTGATTGAGAAAAGGGGCTCGATAAAAATAACATTGAACAAGTAAAATGGACAGAACTTGGGGGTAGATTGGATGCAATGAAAAGGAAGTATAACAAGTAATGCTATTCTAAAGTTTGCAGTTTAGGAAACTGTACAAATGATTACTCTGTTATTCCATGTAGTGAAGCCAGAGAAAGAGGGCAAATGTTCTGATTTGGGGCATGGTGAGTTTGAAGTTTTGATGTTTATCTCTATGGAGGGTCAGCCCTGTAGCATAGTGATTAAGGGAGCCAGATCCCACATACTAACTACAGTTTGAATACCAGCCCCAACACTTTGAGAAATACACTGGGCACCTGTGCATGCCCAACAGGATGGAGAAATGAAGAAGGAATTGCAACATGACTGCACCTACCAGGAAATACTTTCTTCCTCTCTCCCTCTCCTATGTCTCTTTCTGGTGAGCACATGTGCCCTCTGACAATTTTTTTTAAGTACGTATTTCTATAGAAATTTCCAGATGCTATATGGAAATGTAGAATGGGAGCTTAGGAGACAGCTAGAATCAAAAGAAAGGTTCACCTTTCCAGAGTGAGTGGGAACTGATTACAGGAGATAACCAAGGATGGGGCCTTAGGAAAGGTCCCGGTTAGGAGGCCTGCTGTAGAAGAAAACAAGAAGTCATGGGGGAAAAGAGCGGAATTAATACAGCTGGATGGAAAAAAACAAAGAGAATATGATCACACAGATATAAAGGAAAGCTCATTCTATGTTTGCCATAGCATGAACATCCATGTTTCTTTAGCCTGGCTGAATAAATAGGTTTCAGTAACCAGGGTAACCCTTTTGCTCACAGAATCAACAATAGGATGGAGCCTTGCTGTCTAAGATAAGATGGGGTTCACTATTCATCTTCAGGCCCTTCCTTCCTGCTTCTTGACCTATAAACTGGCCTCTCTGTAGCATTCTTATCTTCAGCTTGTAGGGACCATGCTCCAGCTAAGAGAAAAACTTCTTCTCTCTTCTCCAGGCACCTCCTGTTTCTATTATCTCTTATCTGTTGTGACACAGTCCAGGATTGTGATTCTGAACAGCAATAAGCTTGGGCATTACCTCCACACTTGTAACAAGTCCAAAGGTTATCCAAACAGCCAATGGGCAAAGAGAAACAGCTTTCAAATGACAATACTAAAAACATTAACCATTAAAATAGAGCCTTCCCTGACCACCCAAGAACTGCTGACTGATCTCACTTCATATTCCTGACCACTAACCTCAAATGGGCAACCATCCTACCACACATACCTACTTTATTCACTTTCCTATTCTCCTAAGTTACAAGCTCCCAATTTTTCCTCCTTCCCAAGTCTTCTACTAGCCAGCCTTTCCCATCATTCTCAGGAATGGCATTTACATAGATGGTAGAAGCAGTCACCACTTTTTCACATCAAATCTACCAATTCAGTAACTGTGATCTGTGTGACTAGAACATCATTTACAGAAGGACTGGATCAGGTGAGTCCTTCTGGCTCTGTCACATTTAAACTCTACATTTCTTTAGCTATATTGAATTTAGTATCATTGTTTTACCAAACCCATTTCCTCCACCTAGATCCCATACTTTCTCACCCCTTCAAATCACTTTCTTTCTGTTATTCTCCCTCTCTAAAGAGCACATCTATCAGCACAGAAACATACTCTTTGATGCCTTCCATTAACTTTTTAGAACTTCAGCTCCATGAGTGAAAAAAAGAGTAGAATGTTTATTCTCTAAATTTTGAGATTCTTCCATAAACTATCCACAAAATGCTCCTCCTCATTTTTCCTCAAATCTCTCATATTTTACATATGCAACTTTTTATTCTCAGATACCATACAAATAAAATCACAATTGTGAATTCAGTCCTTGCTTTAGCCAATTATTCTTTCACTCACTGGTGGACACAATGTTC